ACCTGATTAGCATTATCTCCCAGCTTCTGTTTCGTAGGCCACTTGACCAATTTGAAATTTTCATTATTGCCATGAGCAGATGGCTATCTTTTATTCGCCGCCTCGTAGCATAAATTAATTCGACAGATCCGAGATCTTACGAATTTCCTATCTTTTGCGAAAAAAATACTTTTTTTTCGCAAATGAAAATAAAATCTTTACCACTGTTCTTTGTTTAAAAAAAATAACATTGCTCAGTATGTCTTTTCGTGATAGCTTCTTATCGCCTTAAATATTTCAGCTTTTTCTCGCCTTAATCATTTCTCGCTTTTAATTTTCACGCGACCATTAAATAGTGTCACACCTGTATAATTGGAATCTTTTATTATTATTATTATTATTTTTGCCTGTTCCCGGCAATTTTTTTTCTTAAGATCCATGTCGATATCCCCAGCCTCCACAGTTGGTTTTTTCCCCTTTTTTTCATCATACTTTGATTTTCCCTTTCCGTCATTTATTTTTACCCTTCCCTCTCCATTAGGGAATCTGTTGCTTAAATTTATCCATCGTCAGAATACAGCAGAAACTCTTATTATTTTGAGAGATCGACGGGCCTTACTAATAGCCGTTTTGTTTTAGTTTTCTTTGTTACACTCTTTTGTTAGTTTTCTGGATTCATCCCCCACTTATTTTATGATTTATGCATTTTTGTAATAAAACATTTTGATGTTTCATGAAATTTTTATATCACGGGGTGTTTTTCTAGGTCCCCCTCCTGTGAATATGTGGTATTGTGGTATATGTAGGATTGAATGGTGATTGATGAGTTCTTGTGGTAAATTATATTGGATGAATACGTCGTGATAGTGATTAACTTGGACTAGTATAGTTAGCAAAGACCAGCATTTCCCCACTTCCGCTTCGGCCATGTGCCAAAATTATCGTGCTTTTAATATAATAAATATATTCTTGACACAATCTGTTTTCTAGATCCCTGCTTCAGAATTTAGGCTGTTAATATTTTGTTTTTGTATTAATTAAATCCTTTGTGTTTTTGACAAATTTGAAACGAATTTTAGATTTCTTTTTACTTTCAGTTGTGGTTATTATTTAATGATCTTATGTGTTGAATTTTATCATTGGTTATTATTGGTTATTATTTCATTGGTTATCATTGGTTATTATTTAATGATCTTATGTGTTGAATTTTATCATTGGTTATTATTGGCTATTATTTCATTGGTTTTCATTGGTTATTATTTAATGATCTTATGTGTTGAATTTTATCATTGGTTATTATTGGCTATTATTTCATTGGTTATCATTGGTTATTATTTAATGATCTTATGTGTTGAATTTTATCATTGGTTATTATTGGCTATTATTTCATTGGTTATCATTGGTTATTATTTAATGATCTTATGTGTTGAATTTTATCATTGGTTATTATTGGTTATTATTTCATTGGTTATCATTGGTTATTATTTAATGATCTTATGTGTTGAATTTTATCATTGGTTATTTGCGTTATCTTTTTCTGTTTGTTGCAGTTTTGTAAGCGTCCCTCTTAGCAATGTTTTGTAATTTTGCGTTTGATTAATTTTGTTTTGGAGGCGAATAGAAGTTCAATTATCCTTCAGGGGGTCTATCAAGGGAAAAGTTTGAAAAATGTTTGTTTAAATGTACAGAATGGTTTCAATTACGAACATTTGGTTAACAACTAAGCCCCTGAATGTATTTGTTAACGACCAATCTTCTGAGACGCAAGCGATCAACGCAGGTAATGTCCAAGGTTCGCTTCTCAGTCCAACCCTCTTTCTTTTCCTTTTTTTTTAACAATGGTCATCCAATGTAAGGCCCTAAAGTCACTCAGGGCAGGTGGTTAATGTGTGATATTGTATGAGCGTAAGAAAGGCAAGAAGTGGAATTCTTGCGGCCTATACTGAAAAGATAACGACTAACTCTAGTTTTGAAGAGGTCAATATTTAATTAGTGAATTACATTTCAAAGTTAAGTCGGAGACGTTACATGTGTAGTGTGGAAGTAGACTTTAGAAGGAACCGGAAACTCAGTCCTAAACAGGAAACAAGGGATAAACCTCTACTCCTGTTCAAAAGAACGGGACGAAGTGTAAACTGGACGATAGGCGAACCTATCTACTCCTATTATGAGGGAAAAGAGAAAAAATAATTAGTCAGAGCTCAGTCGGAGATAATAGGCGTATAGAGTTGAAGCAGATTTGAGAAGGAACCGGAAACTCAATCCTAAACAGAAAACGAAGGCTAAACCTCGATTTCTCTTCATTCTATTAATTAATCAATTTCCGACAAAATAAGATATTTTTATTGAAAATTATTCATCAAGCCATATAATAATTATGTCTGTATGTTTATTTTTCTAAATATTTCCTGCCCCATCTGTAGTGGAGGTAAATCAACTTAAGATAGTAAACTTAAGAGTGATTATTTCTTTAGTCATTTTAATAATATCTACAAATGATAGCTGCGTTTTGACAAAATTATTTCCCGAGCATAATGAACCGTTTATTAAATCAGTTCTTTTCTTCCGCCGTTTTGTAGATTACAGTCTTATTTGTTCAAGCCTTTCATGTGAGGCGCTCAGTTACATTTGTCTTTTTAAATGATCATCTAGCTTCAACGTGATCTTGATTTAAGCTTTTTCATCGCCGTCTTTGTTGTTCTGTTGCTAATTTATTTTTACCGAGAGATATTTTCATTTTACTGTTGTATTTATAACATACAATTTTCAAAATGAAAAGTGATTGAGCGATTTATATAATGCCAGGAATATTCAATGAATCATATATACCATTGTACGTCTAAATAAATAGAAGTGGGACGCATTAAACGTTTCATTGGCCTCTGTTTTGATTGTGGATTCTTTTTCTCTGCTTTATTGAATACAGTATATTTTTTCAAGATTTTTGTTTCACTGCATTTTACTATTAATACATTGTATCAATTCCCGTCATTTTGACAGCATGGGATTTCTAGCCGTATCATAAATAATGCTTAATCCCTACAGAGGTGATATTAACTTAAAATAAAATTTAATTAACTCTGAATTCTTGGAGAAAGATCAAAATTACACGGTATTCAAAACATATCAAATTATGAACATATATTTCAATAAGTTACTTCCAGGGTATTAACATTGGTTTCAGATCGGCAGCAGATACAGTTCACGTTGCAGCTTTTTCATTTTGAATAAATGATGCCTAAGACAATACCTTGATCATTTCCGAATATAAATGCCGATAATACAATGAGTACGCGTCAAAAAAAAAACTCTAAATGATTGGAGCTTTGCAGCTGATCGCTTCTCTGATAAATCTCAGAGGGCGAAAAACTGACTGGTCATATTCAATACCCCGAGAAACGATCTAGTAACATTCCGTCAACACTGAGAATAACTTGAACATTCAACAACGCTAACCCTAACGGGCGTTCGCTTCGGATGACCCTATGTCTTGAGCGTGTATTGGGACTTGAAATAAACCAAGACCTCAAGTGGAACTCGTAAATACGAGCCACCAGAAAGATGCTTGAAAAATAGTCCGTTCCCCGTACAGCTGGAATAAGTACCTGATTCTCCTGCTATTCTCTATATTTACAAGGACAAACAAGCCAGAAATGGAGTAAGCTGAGATATATGGAGATGCCCAACTCAACTGGATAGAGTTCAAAACCTTTTCTACCCGATAACCCTATTGCAAGAGACGAAGCATTGCAAGCCACTCGCTGGTCAATCGTCATTTAAATGGAAGATGTTCAGATTAACTATATTCCTTAGTTCCACAAGTTGTAAACTTCATGGTTAAGACTCGCCACCATGGCACGTTGTAGCGAACCAACCTAATTCCTTTCGTATTCCAGTGGTGAGATTTAAGTTCCACTCAAACAGCTTCTTCCCACGAAATGCTAATTTGTGGAACCAACTTCTAAGAGGATGATTCCCCGATCACTAAAAGCTAAACCTGTTCATGTAAAGGATCGACCGTTATATTATCCACTTATCGCCATAAACTGTGCCTCTTTCTATGTAACTGATGTAATGGAATAACCAGTCAACCCCATAAATGATTACACTATAGGTAGTAAGTACCTATAAAGTCTACTGTCTACGAGAGACTTAAGGTGTGGTGTGAGAGCGAGACGACGTTCCAGTTAGTGGCACTCACTACTAGATTGACCTGTGTGTATAAATGTACCGTATTTCATATTGTACTGGTTGTGTACAATAAACCTTTCTTCTATTATCCACTGGTGTTATGTGTTTATTCCCTTAGCACGGAATATAACAGTGGCGACGAGGATATTTGAAACGAAGTCACACGGAAAGTAACTGGCGACAAGGATGTTTGAAACGAACTCACACCATATAACAGTAACTCTCTGCCTTAAGTGTCTCTTGAGCCTTGTACGTGATGAATAGCATTGTAAAAAGAAACAAAAGACTGTACGCAAAATTTAAAAAAAAGAAACAGACAAAACGACTTAGTGGCAAAAACAGAAAAAAGGGAATTGGCCTGCGCAACGGCGCATACCTTTTCGAGAACACACACACACACACACACACACACACACACACACACACACACACACACACATATATATATATATATATATATATATATATATATATATATACTGCCAAAAACTGGACTTGAACTGTATTTCCTGCCGACCTGAACCAATGTTAATACTCTGGAAGGAGCTTACTGAAATAGTCTGTATATGTTCATATAAATCTATTTCGTAAATCTTTTAATGCGTCAGTGTCTAGGGCTTTATAAACATATAGAGAAAAGTATACTACCGCAAAGATATGTATACATATGTATCTATATATACAATTGTAAATATGTTCAATGTTTATCCTCGTCTTTCCTCTCTCTCTCTCTCATATATATATATATATATATATATATATATATGTGGCTGTGTATATATTAAACTTGAGAGGCCAGTCGCCCACGTCAGACATTGCTTTATTCTCTGATGATCAACCTGGCGCGTAATCTCAGATTCCTGCCATACTGTCCCACTCATCTTTCTATCCGCCATCACTGCTTCATTCCAACCTTTTTCTTTCTTGACTGCGTCTCAAGACTTAAACCCCTCTCATCATACTACTCTATCCTCAGTCCTCTCTCTCTCTCTCTCTCTCTCTCTCTCTCTCTCTCTCTATATATATATATATATATATATATATATATATACTTTGGTATTTCGTCTAGTTTAGTCATCCAAACTCATTATCTTTTCATTTTTTCTCGCTCTTTTCTTTTATTCTTGTGTGTACTTATTGTTTAACTGCCTTCCCTTGATCTATATTTTGTGCTCTCTCTCTTCCTTTTCTTCCTTTTATTCGCTTATTGACGGGTAAGCATTCTTTCTATCCCAATCTCCAAACTATTGCTACCTTTCCTTTCTTTAATTTATTTCTTTTTTCATTCTTTGTCGTTTTTTTGTCTTTATTTTTTCTATCACTTTGAATTCGCTTCCACGTTATTAGACTGCTTTCCAGCTACACATTTCTTTCACGTTTTTCTTAACTACGTTTTATTTTCTACTCCTCTAGTAAACTTTGTTCTTTTTCTTTTAATCTCTTCCTTTTTCAATTACCTTTCCTTTTTACTCAATATTTTTTTCTTTTTTTCTTTTTACAAACTTTTCTTCTTTTCTTTTTCTTAAATTTCATAAACGTTTCTTTCTTTCAGTTTCGATCTTATATTTCTTTCCCTCTAAGCATTTTCTTATCTTTGTATCTCCCTATTTTTTTCTTCTTTTTTCCTTCTTCTTTGTCTATTCCAGCCATTTCAAAAACAGCTTCGCGTTCTCTTCCGTATCTCAAAAGTTGGAAGTCGGAAGCACGGCTGGATATTTGTAAGAAGGAATGCAATGGATTTTGTCATTGGAGCGAACGCGCCGATTTCAACATGGATGCCTCTCAGCTAAAATCTGTAAACGAACTGACACGTCTTTGTAGTGGAACCTTATCCGTGTGCTTGAAAAAAAAATGAATAAATAAAAGAAGGTGTGTGCATAGGATATAAGAACAGAAACATATTTAGACTAGCGGTTATGGGGTAGCCTGTATGTCCGGGTACGTAAGGTTGGCATTCTCCATCTGCATTCATGTGAATGAATATATATATTTATACACATATAGAAGTGTCGTACATAAGCAAATAGATTTGATATATCCGTAAACCCTCTACCCACCTGACACACATATGAAAACCCATATATATATATATATATATATATATATATATATATATATATATATATATATGTGTGTGTGTGTGTGTGTGTGTGTGTGTGTGTGTGTGTGTGTGTGTGCGTGTGTGTTCCCGCACGAGATGTTTTATAATACTTATGCATATATATATAAATTGCGCTGGGTAATGGTTAGTGTTTTGTCTTGCTACATCACATATGAGTGAACAGTGAGTTCAATCCTCACCGGGTGTCCTATACTTTCGATATAGTGCAACATCTAAGCTAAGCTCCTTTTTCCTTTTTGTCTGGGTAATTTGACTTCATTTATTAAAAAAAAAAAAAAACAAAAGAATCTTGCTCTGAAGCGGAGAATATTTGTATATTCATAAAATAAATTATAACCGAACAGATTTTTAAGGACCGTCTGTATTCATATATATATATATATATATATATATATATATATATATATATATATATATATATATATATACACACACACACACACACACACATATATATATATATATATATATATATATATATATATATATTATCCACTGTTAAATTAGAACATGTACATATTCACTACAAACATGTACATCTTGTTTCAACGTTAAAAAAATACTACTCCATCGTGATTTCCCACCTGATTAAAAGGTAAAAAAAAATTAACGTTTAAAAAATATGTACACTTTTGTAGTGGGTATGAATATGTTCTAATGTAACAGGGCATAATAAATGAATATTTATTGCTCTACTATTGTATTGAGCCCTGTTTTAAATTCATCATTTTCATGCTGAAACATTACTTTCCGTTCTTTTACGTTTGCATATATATATATATATATATATATATATATATATACATATATATATATGAAGAAAAATATATACGGAAAAAAAACAAACAAAAAACCCTTATATACAATTAGGCTGTTTTAATGTTAATATGTCAACGTCGGACGTTTCGGTCTAATAAACCTTCTTCAGGACATATTCATAAATTATAACATTTTCAATACAACATGACATAATGTTATAATTTATGAATATGTCCTGAATATGGTTTATTAGACCGAAACGTCCGACGTTGACATATTAGCATTAAAACAGCATAATTGTATATAAGGATTTTGTTTGTTTTTTTTTTCCGTATATATTTTTCTTCATACTGTCGGATCTATATCCATATATTTATATATATATATATATATATATATATATATATATATATATATATATATATATATATATATATATATATATATATATATATATATATATATATATATATATATATATATATATTCATACATGTTTCATTAAATAATATAAAGAAGTGTTGTCGATTTACTTTATGTAAATTCTTTTCATAACGTCTGATAAGCTTAATAACATTATCATCAAACGAATAAAGAAAATCACAGTACTGATACATATTTTTTAATCCAATCTAAGCTTTCGGCTTACATAAGCCATTATCAAAGATGACAATTACAGTACAATACATTAAGCAATACACGCACAAGAATGTGATGATAGTCTGTTTCTGTTTACATGGATGATTTCTAAGCAACGATAAACACGAGCAAATACGACGCTGGAAGCGAAAATCACACCGCAGCGTCACACATGAAAACGCGAGATTGAATTCGAGATGTATTAATTATGGGAAGTCGTTAGCATAAATGAATGGCTTCTGTTACCAATTATAAACATTTAAGAATATTTCTGGAGATTTCATAGTTTATTTTGTTCAGGTTAGGTTTCAACTGTTTTATGTATATAGCTTCAAGAATTTTTAGGTTTTTTTTTATTGTTTTCATGTTTAAGTATAATTGTGTTTTCAACAAGGATTTTACGGAGTTTCCTATTCGTCTTTCCTAACTGAAATTGCCTTAGAAAGTTCAACGGTACTTTCTGACGTTAATTTCCACAGTATTCTCATCATCCTTCTGTAGAACTAAATATCTGTTGACTCAAGTTCTTCTTCATCTCTGACGACTTTGTCCAGCATCCACTGCTTTATAAGAGGACTGGTATTATGTAACTGCTCAATATGCTTTTGTTTGTTTCTAAGGAAATTTACCTGTTTCTTAAACAACTCAAAACGCTTTGTTCTACACATGCATTTTTTTTTGCCAGACATCGAAAGAAGCATAATATTTCTTGAATACAAAAGCGGAATGCCCTCCAGCAACAAAAAAAAGCATCTAAATTGAGAAATCGATTTCGATTGTGTGCCAGATGATCGTGATTTTCTGTAACGAAGAAAATGGAAACAACTTCGTCTACATCAAATCGAATCTTAACAATAGATATATTACTTCGGGTGATGTCATAGCAAATTGAAAACATCTTCGTTGCAGAGATTTAAATATGGAAGAAACCGTGTAATTCAATACGAAAACGGCCGTACAAGGTTTTAACCTCTTAAGCTATTACGACAAGAACAGCCGAATAAAAGCCGATTTTTTTAAAAGGTAAGCCACAAAAAGAAAAAAAAAATACAAGCAAAATGGGCATATTAGACACATTACACAGTTCTACCTTTATAGAAAGTTATTTTTGAAAAGTGGATATCATTGGGAGTAAATGGAATCCTACGCTGAAATATTATATATATATATATATATATATATATATATATATATATATATATATATATATATATTCAAGTATAAGATTGTATACGGAATGAATTCCTAAAAACCAAAAACATATTCTTCTTAAAAGAGAGTTCAATACAGATTAGAGAAAATATAATTTCTTTGAAAATTATAGCATAAATATGTTATAAAATCACTACAAAAATAGCCATTTTGTTTCAAGTGATGGTGTGGATGTAGAATAAAGGGTGGTAACAAGTTCAAATCAGTTAACCACCCCTCGCTAAGTTGCAATGACCAATCAAAATACAAGTATACGAGAATTTCAAAAAACTTGACAATGAACGTTCGTTATAATAATTAATGCTTTAATGTTAGGGTTAGAATAAAATAAAAATCATTCTAACGAATTAATATTAAATTTTACTATAAAATCAAAAATTAAAAATGACCAATTTCAAATTTTAAATTTAATCTGTATTAAGTTTGAAATTTAAACTTATTTAAAGAAGAAGCTGAGGAAAAATACATGTTTTGTTATTTATTTTGTTTTAGTTGAAAGGCCAAAGATTCAATTAGAATAACCGTTAAAGTCTAATGTTGCTCTAAGCTTCGTTACAACTTAGATACATTTGAAGTGATGATATGGGCAGTGGAGGAGGAATCTTACAAAAGAGAATGCATACACATTCAGATTGTAATACATAAGATATATTTATCTATATAAACACGCAAAAACACGAACGAAACAGGAAATAGATGTCCACGACCCTTAAAGAAAAAAGAAAAAAAACGACAACATATACTTACAATGAAAGGCATATATAAGTGATCATACACACATACATTAAAGATACACACATATACACTGCAACAAATATTCAAATTTGAAAGTGTTAGTAAAAGAATTCAAAAATACTTTTAAAATATGACTTACATGGGAAAATATATAGAGATAAAAATGGTTCAATAGGTAAAATTTAATAGGGGTAGAATAGAAAAACAAATATTCCTCAATGAACAACGCAAAGAAAAAAAGACACTAAAATATATAGAAATTGAAAGAGAAATAAATATATATAACACTCAAAATAAAATAAAACAATCTAATATATAAAAAAGAAAATTCATAAACACACAAATATATATAAATATCTCATATATACTTATATACGCATGAGTACAGATACACGAGTCGAAATATATAACAATATGTAAAAATACATACATACGTATGTGTACACACATTCATCCCAACAAATAGAAACATACATAACAATACCTACGCACATACATATGCACACAGGCACACACACACACACAAAAAAAAACACATATATATATATATATATATATATATATATATATATACGTACCCATGTACATACATACACTTATACATACACATATACGCATATACATATATACACACACATAGAAATAAATATAAATATATCAACCTACACAGTAACATAAAAAATAAATATATATATACGTATATATATATATATATATATATATATATATATACACAAATACAAGCATATATATACAAAGACACATATATAAATACATACATACACACAAACATATATATATATATATATATGTATATAATAAAATCGGCAGCATATATTTTATATTACAAAGAGTTAATCATACCTTGAACCAATTATCAATATTAATGCAATTATTGGCGAAATCCCTTATTATTATTAGTAGTAGTATAATGCTTATAATTATGTCTACTAGCGAAGAGATTTCGCCAATAATTGCATTAATATTGCTAATTGATTCAAGGTATGATTAACTCTTTGTAACACACACACACACACACACACACACACACACACATATATATATATATATATATATATATAAACATACATATATACTAATAATATTATCCAAATGACAATAAAGAACGATAAAGTCCATACAAGATTAAAATGTAAAAAAAAACAACAGTTGATTATTAATTCCACATGCAATTCTAAAACCACAATCAAACAAAAGCAGATTATAGTTAGCATAGATAATACATCCCAA